CTCACCACCCTCCCTCTACCCCTCACTCGCTCTCTGCTTCACTACCTTCCGATCTCTGTGTACGTCTCCTCTTTCTCACAGAACTCAGGAGAGAGACTCTCTCTCGCGTGCCTCTCTCGGCTCTCCTCCTCGCGTTGGCAACGAGACCGGCCGTGCACGCCAATGCGCCGCGCGCGCGATGCACCGAAGGCCTATTGCCATTCTTGCATGCTCTTATTTGATCGGACGAGACGCGACGCGTCGCGACCGTGCCCGGCCCTCTTCTTTCTCTCTCTCTCTCTCTCTCTCTCTCTCTCTCTCTCTACCTCTTTCCCGCTCTATACGTACCTACATGGTACTGCGGGATAGACGTACATGGTACTATGGCGAATACACGGGGTCGGAACGAACGCAACGTACGCTCTCGTTCGATTCTAACCTCTTTTCGTTTTATTGTCTTTCCCTTTTAGTTTCTACTCGAAGTACGATGCGGTATGGTTTTAATTTTTTTCTTTCATTGCACCACGAATTCAGGTATCAGGCTCCATGTTATTGTGCAGAAGTTGAATAGTCGTTTTTGTAAAATTTATTATTTCGAACGTTCGCGAATTGCATGATAATCTATTATCATTGTTTTTGTGTATTTCAACAGCTACTCGGTACAAACTGTGTATAGCATCTGAATCGGGTTCTTATCAGCGTCGCGATACTTGCTTCTGTCGTTATTCAAGATCCGTCAGTGTTTTCAGTGAATTTGATAAAAATGAATTAAATATGTATGTATATAGCACGTGACGTAACGCTACGCCGGCGACTCCAATTCAGACGACGGGAAAACTTCGTACTACCGCGAGAAACTGTCATCGGCGCGATCGTACGGTCGGCTGGGACTCTCGGCGAACTGTCAAGGGACGCGAAATTGCCGTTCGAGAGTCGCCCTAAGGTCTGACACGTCGCGGACGCTCGGAGACGATGCCTAAAGTTAGCGTAATCTAAAGATACCGCAGGTGCCGTAAGGACGTCGGACGACACGTAAGAAAGTGCCGGCGACCACGAAGACGAGTCTGCTGGGAGTCATCGTCGTGGCACGAGGATTCCCAAAGAGAGATGTCAAGACGGACGGACACTCGGAGACAGCGGAGCGAGAGAGTGCGTGAAAAATTAAGAGGAAAAAGAAAGATAGAAATACAAAAAAATGTAAGAGAAGAAGGTCGCTCGCGAGTCACTCCCTCTTTTACACTCGCGCACAGTCGAGCATTCTCGGGCATTGTCGTACGACGCTAAATCCCTGGCACGCATGGACGCGGATAGTCATAAGTCACGCATCGTCGCTCATAGTTATTTAGAGGCGGCCGTAGTGGCGGATAGTCACGCATTGTCGCTCATAGTTATTTACAGTAGGACCGTACGAAGGGACTGATCGGTCGTGGAAGCGAGGAACGCATTGTTTTTATTCCTTCGTAAAATCACTACCGCTGCCTGCGTAGTGACTCGAGACCGTTGGCCGATTTGAAATTTTCGGCGGGAAATTTGAAAATTTTACGTTCCCATACGAATTCCAATCGGACGTTTGCATTCGTACCGACATAAACGGATGGCTCGAACCGGCTTAATCATACAGCTTGGCATCCGACTGTTGACTGTTCCGGTAAATCGTCGACGCGCCTGAAAGCCGTATACACGGCAAGAGGCTAAATAGACTTTTCGAGGTTAGGATTAATTTGCTCGTTAATTTTGTACTCTTGGTAAATCGTAACGGACTGTTCTGCTTTATTCCCTGCTCCGGTTACAGTTACCGACCGAGCTCCCCTGTTTACCTCAAGTCGTCTGGACGACGGCAGGAAACGATTTTTCATTAGCTCAAGACAAATTGACTGCGAGCTCGAGCCGATCGTTCATCAAGCAATTCCACTAATCGCAAGGTTAGTCGTGTACTGGGAACGCTGATAGATTATCACGTAAACAATATGAGATGGCAAGATACCGTGCGTAATAATATGAAACTGTCGGTAAGTATTTTTTTTTTTAAACGTCTTATCGCCTTGTGTCCACGTAAATAAATGCATTCGCGTATGTGTACAGTGAGTGATTGCACTCGGGATACGTGGATGCGGGTTAAGTAGTACGAGTCTCGGCTACGTCATACCTATAGTGTTTCTATGTAAGAAAACAGAGATGAGAAAAAGCGGCAGACAGTGAAACCAGACAGACGGACGGAAGGCGTCTCGTCCTACGTCTGGCTGGTGTTGCGTAAGACGTCGACGCCGACGTGGGACGCGCACCTGGTACACGAGAGAGGAGAACCGGCTCGAAAGAACTCGATGATGTCGTTGTCTTCTTCGTTCGTCGGCGTCGACGTCGTCGTCGGGATCGCCGTAGTGAGACTCGGCGGTGCCACTGTTCTATTTTCGTACCACTCAGCCACAGACGGGACTCTCTCAGAACTTTCAGAAGATTTCCCGCTCTGCGTTACTCGTCTTCGCAACTGACTCAGGAGACTTCCTCGAAGTATGGACCATGGATGCTGTAGGGATGACAGCAGGGAGTCGGACGAGTCTTTGATTGGTGCCTAATCTGATTTTTTTTTTTTTCTTAAAAAAAAAAAACACCGCGACGCCTAGTGTGAATGTTACAGTGCACGATATACCGGGTGGCGTAATAATTTTACTGTTTACAAGTACATCTGCACACGTGGCGATCATTGAAAAGGGTCAGACGGACAGGAAGAAATCAGTCCTTAGGTATCTGACAGCTGTCACTCTGCTGTTACGATTACTACGACACGGAGAATCGTCTTAAAATTTTGAAAAATGAAAAAATTATTTTTCTTCGCAAAATCAATTTTATATGTATCAACTTTGCTTGTTATACGATCATTCTTAGTTCTGTATGGACATTGACGTGGGTATATATGTATATATGTAAAAAGAATGACTTTCAATTAAATGCTCTATAGACTCTCGTTAATGAGTAATGACAGCTGTCAAATATGCTTGATGCCTCCGAGCTGAACGAGCCTGTATAGGTTAGTTATCGTCTAGGTTAGCGGACGGTTTGTAATTACCGTATGGCTGCCCTGGCTTAAGGCTGTAAAATCTTTTTCACGTACGGGGTGGCTACATGTAATACAGTAAGGCAGATACGCGCGCGCATCGCTGCGCGAACCGCCGACGTGCGTGGGGCTTTTTTTCACGTGAAAACGAGTCGTGCGGGCTTCTCGCGTTGTAGTTGGATACTTATTATATGTACGTATAGATATTGTACAGCATATCCCGTATAGAGGTATTCAGTTGTATATAGGCGAGAGCAACCCGCAGGAGACGACGCCCGGGTGTACGTGTAACGTTAGCGCGGTCACCGGCTTCTACGCTCCTGCTATGTGAATTATCGTCGGCCTCGCAGCAAAATTATTTCCCGATGAAATACGCCTACTCGTCGCCGAAAAGAATTTGCCGGCGCGAGCCGCGCATGGGCGCAACGACCTCGTTGCATCGACAAAAATTTTATACCTCGGACACTCGACTCGAATATCTACCGTAGTACTCGAATGCCTACTTGCTTTGCAGTGCAGCCGATCCAACTGCCGAGCTGCACTTGTATCCGAATGCATCGACTGCACATGTGCGACACGGGCAGATACTGCTAGAATGCGAGAGCTGGCGAGGTGGAGGCGGTGG